CAGCCTCCCACTCCTCTCCCCCAGCAGGTTCTGCAAGGGATGGAGCAGCACTGCCAAGGCACCAGCCAGCGCAGCCAGGAGGAAGGAGAGCTCCCAAAAGGCCTTTCGGCTGTCCTCAGTGCCCTGCCAGCCTGCGGCCGGGGCAGGAGTTAGCAGGCTAGCCAAGAGCCTTTCCATCCCACAGCTTGTCTTCCAGGAGTTCATTGTAAATTGGGCTCTGGAACGGGCAGCCAGTGTGAAATTTGGCATGTACGCTGCTGGCTTCAATGCATCATTAAAAAGGCATTTCAAATGTGTTAATTCCTCTTTTTCAATTAATTGCTTTTAAATCTAGATTAATATGCATCAAAGCAAAATACCCTTTGCCCTGATTTCTGCTTTGCCATACATATTTCCTGGCCTTGGTGCTGTCTTTTCCTAGACTCCCCCCCCTCCCTTTTCTTATTCCATTTTTTAGTCCATAGCACAACAAAAACACTCATGCAGAAAGGGAAGAAATTAAAACCCTCCAACAATGTAAAGCAGAGTCCAAGTCCTAACAACACATGGCTTCTTAATTGCCTTTTCCATCCATAGTTGTTAATTATTTTACAAAAGAGGGAAGTGGCATTGTCCCTTGTACAGATGGGGAAATCTGAGATACAGAAAGGGGAAGAGACTTACCCGGTGACCAGTGGCCTGCCAGGGCAGATGGCAGCAAGGTTCAGGTTTCCTAAGCCTCCACCCAGCCCAGTACCCGTGGGATTACATGGCTCCCTGGAAGTGAATTCCTGTCGGAGCAATAGGCTACGCGTAAGTGCAGCCAGCCAGCCCTTGCAAGGGGACTAAATGCAGATCACGACTGACTCACATCCTATAGGAAGGAGCAGCAAACCACGTACGTGGTGGAAAAGCAGTCTTAAAAACGAGGAGAAGAACAAGTGGAAGCATAATGGGAATAAGAGGAGATGGAAAAGGGAGAGGCAGGACGAAGCTCCAGCTCTGGAGAGGGGAGAGCAGGCGCTGATCGACCAGACGTGCCACGCTCGCCGTCCCTACGGGGCAGGATCGCAGGCAGCACCAGCTGCGCACGTATGCGCAGGGACAGGGATCGTGCACAGCATCATTGGCCTGCTCTGGGGCTGCCTGCTCTCCTCCTGCCTGCTCTGGGGCTGCCTGCTCTCCTCCTGGCTGGTCTTGGGCTATCCGCTTGCTCTCCTCCTGCCTGCTCTTACGTGATGGAGGTCCGTGACTTTATCGGAAAGAAAGCAGAAGCCACCGAGGGTCCTGGGAACTAGGTCCTGCACCTCTGCCAAGTACACACCTGGCAAAGCCACATCACGACAGCTTTTCCAGCAAATTGCACATCCAGGCTCACAGTGATTGAACAAACAGTCCTGCTTCAGCTGTGTCTGGTTATTGTCAGGCAGCTGAAGGGAGCACCTTCTCAGGGGCAGCATCAGCCCTAGCTGACACATGGGGCATGGGGAGATTTCATTCCTCTGCAAGAGACTGAGCTCACCAGAGCCCTCTTGGCCACATCCAGCACCAGGAGCCCAAGACCACGGCACTGCATCAACATGACAACAATCTCTCTCAGGGAAAAACATGCTGAAGTGGGAGAAAGCAGCCAAGAAAACAACCTTCTGCTCCCTGGCTTAAAAAAACCCACCAATGTGGATATGAGCAATGTGAGGTTCATAAGGAAAGGTAATATCTTTTACTAGACCAAGTGAGATTTAGCTGAAAGCTGCTGCTTTTGAAAGGCACACTGCCCAAAAGCATGTCTGCTTTCTCCAGCTAGAATGTGCTGATCCAAGAGAAGACATTACCTTCTTACACATTAAGCCTTGCTTAGAGTGAGGCTGCAGTGATCCTGAACAGGATAAATGGGCCTAGCTCATACCATATTTGAGAGAGGTAAATAAGGAATACAAGACAGGAAAGATCCACTTCTCTTTGGGGAAAAAACTCTGGAACCTGTTACCAGTATTTGTCCCATCAATTACTCCATCTGTGTTTGGAGCACAGATTATGGCCTTGGAAACATGCAGGAATGGTGTTGACTTCTCTCCCCTGGGCTGAAGGTTGGTAAATCCAGTTGTCAGTGGTTATCAGGGATGTGCTAAACTCACACCCCAACACAGACCCAATTCTGCATCTCAGCTCCACTGCTGCTCTGAAAACAGCGGAGACCAACAGGTATATCCACTGCCCCAGAGCAACATCCATTACAGTTACATCCCCTGGGGCAGCCAGGCTGGTGCCCAGAGCATGTAACCAAACCCCCATCCTTTTGACTGAGGGTTTTGTGGAGCTCTCACTGTGCAAAAATCAGCTCAATCTGCAAGATCACCATGCAAAATAGTCCTAGTGCTGTTACTCCAGTTGAGCTCCTTCCCACTCTGTGACTGTAACAATGAGGAATGGGGTAAGGGGTAAGCGAACAACTCCTAGGATACTCCATCTAAACAATCAGCAGCATGTTTAGCAATCCTGGGTTCACGTGGTGCATCTCACCCAAAGAGCTCACCCAGCTGGCAAAGCTGCCCTAGATAAAGTATCGAGCGACTTTGTCAGGCACTGAGTCAGCAGCACAGACAGAACAGCAAATATCTCTCAGCTCTGGTCACTGGGACACACATCCTGCTGCCCTGTATGTGCCACTGCTCTGGGACACACGTCCTGCCAACACACATCCCACTGCCACCACACATGTGCCACCACTGCAGGACACACTCAGCACAGAGCCTCTCGGGGAGGTCTGGATTATCTGTCCTAGGTGATGAGTTACACCACCAGAGCCCAGGGCTGAGTTCAACAGTTGCTGGCTCACCATGGATGCAAGAAGCACTTCTACCTTTATGTGCAGCCCAGATCTGCAAGTGTCCAGAGCTGTGGCCAAAGGCCAATCTCAGTTCTTGGCATTTACCCTAGACCAGCACACCCAGAACACCTCCTGCACCACACTGAGGCTCAGGGCAATGCACAGATTAGCTACAGGAACTTTTCCATGACCTTAACACCCACCAAGAGTTTATAGACTAGTCTGAGGACAACTGCTCAGGACTAACGCCAAGAGACTGCTATTAACCCAATTTCCCAAGCTGCAAAGGCAGACAGGCCCTACGTCCCAGACTTGCCTTCTGCTCCCAACCACTTGAACAGCACTGAGATCATCCAGTCTTGTTGTGAGCTCCATCAAACCCATTCTGGAAACAGCCCCTGCTAGTTACAAACAACTAACCCCAGCTCCACTCAGGCTCTCACCAGTCAGGGACATCACATTTCCTTCTACCTTCCAGACTCTAAAATTACAAATGGCTCCACTAAAAGCATAATCTTGTCTCACTGAATTCATCTTAGCTTTCTCTCTCTCTCTCTCTCTCTCTCTCTCTCTCTCTCTCTCTCTCTTTCTTTCTCTTTCATTAACAGAAGTTTTAAGCCCCATAAAACGCAAGTAATTCTTGGAAATGTGTCACAGACCAAGAAGCAAATGCAGCCCCTAAGCTCACCAACTAATGCCTCAAGAGCAGCTTTGCCTATTAGAAACAAATAGTTGAGACAATCTGTGGTTTTCTGGTGAGAGGTGGAGCAGAACTGCTGGTGGGAATAATGTGCCGGCAGGAAAGTCATCCTGGTTTCTGCACATCTTCAGAGAGGAATACTTTTTGTTTTGTGGACAACACTGTATTTCCTGCATCAGCCACCCAACTAACATCCCCCCAAGGACACTCTATGCATCAGAGCCACCACAGAACACCCCAGGGCACAGAGAGCAGAGTCCTGGCTGGTCACAGCATCACCTCGTTAAGACACATCTCAGAGGGAGCAGCAGTGATGGAACACCAAAAAGCCAAAACACCTCAGAGGCATCTTTTCCAAGGCAACACATGATCAAGAGCTAAAGGAGAGCCACTTCACATGTCTGGTGCATTTCTTGTGGCTTCTGAGTTTAAACACATCTCTTCAAAAGGAGCTGCTCCATCCCTTCCAGCAGCAGCTCACCATTCCCAATCAGCAGACCTTGCAGCCCTCTCCTCCAGGAGATCCAGCCAGGCCTCCCTTGGCATCTGAACTACTCCAAAGTTAAATATCCTTCTCATTCAAGACAGGTCAGAAGGATCCCAAGCAAGCCCACAGGTACTGTACAGATAAGAGATGTCTGAATATCCCAACATTCCCAAGGAAGAGCTTTCTAGCCTGTGTGTTATTTCAGTCAGCTCCCACAGAGACTCAGCACACCATCCCCATCACCTTGGGTACAGATGTGACTTCCCTTCCATTTCACTGAAGGCTCAGGCAATTCCCAAGCCCAGCCTGCAGCTGCACTAACCCTCAGCACTGGCAGCATGAGCCAGCTGCTCCCAGCACATTTATCCAGCAAGACTTTCCTGCCAACCAGGAGCATGTCCAAACTGGAGGTAAAATCAAATACAATTTACCCCAACAGAGCATGAAAGTAAATCCAAACAGGCACACAAACAAGGGATTTCTCTTTGCAACATTTATTCCATGTGCAGAGGGAACAATTGCAAGTGAACGATTTGCTTTGTTAAATGAGACTGGGATGAGGGAGGCTTTCCTGAAGAAAATTATATTAAAGAACCACCAGCAACCGATTCCAACCCTTCAAACACCAATATTAAATAAAGAGATGTGATAAACGAGAAACGTCAAGTAAAAATCAAATCAGGGCAGAGCATCCAGAAAAGCCAGGCATGACCATCCTTAATTCAGCCTACAGGAGCTTCCAAATTGTTCTGGCGCATCTAATGGCCCAGCAAATACAACCAATGGCAATAACAGTTATGGGGAAAGCTGATATGCTTCTGTTTCCCCAGAGCTGCCACCCCATTTCAGGGAATATTATCCAACACCACCAAGCACTGCTCGATGCATTGAGACTCACCATCTACACAAAACTCAGCAGCAGCTCAGAGCCTCAAAGGCTACACAAGCCAAGGGGATCCCAAAATCCAGACCTCCAACCCAGCTGGCATCAGCCATCAGCCCCTCACCTTTGAGAGATCCTCTGTCCCTCCCTGCTGGCTCTGGCTCAGGAGAGGTGAGTGCCGCATCAGAGGGTCCTGCAGCAGGTCCAGGCGTGGCCTCTTGGTTTCAATGAACTCCAGGTCTGACGGCTTGGTCAGGTCAGAGAGATAGGAATGCGCCTCGGTTCTCAGGTGCAGCTCCTGAGATCTGGGGACAAAGGGAAAAGAAACTTCAGAAGACAAATTACGCTCTCCCCTGCTCTGTGACTGTAAATCACTCAAGTTGGACAAGGCTCAACCTCTGCCTGTTTCCCAGAAGGATGCAGGAGGGGAGGTCAGGTGGCTTGGACTCAACCATCTCAGGTCTCTACAGACCCAGATGCACAGCCCCATAGCTCGGCTGCTGGGCACAGTGTATGTCCTGCAGCAAGATTACCACCATCCTCCGAGCCCAACAAGCCACTCTGCTGTCCCCCTCCTCAGCACCACTGCTGTGTTCCCTGGAAAGCCCTGCTGCCACCTCCTGTCCCACCACATGTTGTGTGGCTGTCCTTACACCAGGGCAAAGTGAACAAGGCTGCAGGTCTGAGCCTTCCCTGTCATGCCACATAGGTTGGGCTGGGCAGAAAAAGCCAAACCTACAAAAATCCTCCTATCTGGTCCATAAACTGCCCACTAAGACCAGGCAGAACTCCCTTCTGCCAGGTTTGGCTTATTTAGTGAAAAGTACCTGCACCACTGTTTATATTTAGCATCTTCTATAGGAATACCAAAGATTATGTGTTGGGGAAAATAAAATGCATACTCCTCTGTGGCTAGACAGTAGGGATTTATTTTTCCAGGATGGGGGAGGAAAGAAACCAACCACATGTAGTTGCATGTCTCTGACACAGACCTGGAAGGCTATAAAAGCACATTATCCAGCGATAGCAACTGTACCAATGAGTCACATCAGACTCAAATATCCTTCACCTGTTAAATATGATGCAGTTGGTAATACCTGGAGAGTGGGCTTGGTTTTGTCTTTTTTTTTCCTAAACAAATGTAAAACTTCTTTTGTAGCTCTGTTTTTCCTAGCAGGATTCTCTTGTGGGAATTGTAAAGGGATCCTACAAAAACACATTAAACATTTTACTATGCCCCAGGACCAGCTTTGCTGCAGCAGCTCCAAGGGTGTGTTTTTAACACTTCAGGCAGAAGTGTCTCTTAAAAAAATAAAAATAAAACAAAGCACAGGAGAGTTGAAGCCTGAGGAAAAAAAACATGGCTTTTTTTTTTTTTTCTTTACCCCTTAAATGAATTGTTCAAGTTCTCCTGAGCTGGTGGTGAAGTCCTCCCCAGCTCCTAAACACCAACAAACTAAACAGCCTCTGGAGCTGCTCAAAAGGCAGTGAGAGGATGGGTTTTGTCAAAAACAAGCATAAAAGGTACAGGGTCTTGTGCACCATTTGGCCACCACCCACAAACTGCAACTGCTGACATTAATTTCTACTTAGAGCTAATTAAGTATCTCAGAGATGATGGCAGCAGGGAAGGACCCAGAGCCCCCTGAAGCCAGCGGCTATAACAGCTCTGGATCTCATCCAGGGAGAGCAGGAACCCTGGAGAAATCCACCTTCTCAGGGGCACCACCCCGAGCACAGCCCTCTGCCCTCCCCTGCAGCAGTGTGGCCAACTCAGCTCCAGGGAATCAAGATAAAGTTGGGGGTTTATTTTTTAATTTAAACATCAAGAGCAGGCACAAAGCGTGTGCAGCCAAGCTCTGCTGCTGTGGGCTTGGCGCTGGGATCGGGTGGTAGCTTTGCTGCTGACACACAGAAACAGAATCTGGCTCATCCTCTTCCTCCTCCCCAGTAAAAAGGGGCCAGGAGAGCAGGGAGGCTCCAGCACTGCCCTTGGTGCTCCAAAGACAGTGCTCGAGACAGCACATGCACAGCAAACTTTGCAGAGCTGAACAGCCCTGAAATCTGGCACCGAAGCACAGCTCGCTTCACCTGCAAACACTTTCACGCTGAATGATCCTCAGCTTTTCTCAGCAAGCCCAGAAATCTCTCCTGGCACCTCTCGGGTTTCCTGCTGGCTGGTCCCAACTCCTCGTGCAATCCCTGCCCACAGCTGCACTCCTGAAATCAGGCTCTGCTGTAAAACCCACCAACAATAAGCAACTGTTGAGCTGGGCAGGTGCTAAAATATTCCAACACCCAAGGCACTGCCGTACCGAGGCAATTAAAAATTAGATGTATTTATTTTCACTCCTTTCCCTATTTTTTTTTTAAAGCCAAATTACCAAGAAGCTGCTAATTGACATGGGATGGCTCTGGGACCTCTGCAGTTGTCAGGAACCTGACACAACTGCTACGCTCAGAAAAAAAACATGGATTTTGAAGATAAGAGCACCACTCAGCTTTACAAAGGCAGTTACTCACAGCGAGGCAGGGGCCACACCAGGGAAAGCAGCTGCAATGTTATAGGGTGCTATTTTATTTCCATTTCCACATCCATTGGAACTGCTATTAACTTTATCCACTGGAATTTCCAGCCGCTCCCGAGATTGCTTTGCCTGACACAACCCGCTCAGCCTGTCCTGGCTGCAAACACAAATGCTCTTGCTTGAAACCTTCACACCTTTCACTCCTCACATCCACACCTGCAGCGAGCTCTCTACAACAGACTTTTATACAGCAATGACGTTGCTGTCAGTGCAAAAACAACCCTGCCTGAAAACCCCTCCCGTTACACCGAGTTTGGGGGTTGCTGCATTTTCCAAATAGTTCCCACCTGGCTGGTTTATTCCAGACATTCCTATTTTGCTGAAGGGAAAAAAAAAAACATGTGAGCATAATTAAATCAAGTAAAGCAAATGCCAGTGTTAATTATGAAGTGGGGCAGGTTAGTCTTCACCTGAGTCCTTTGCCACAAACACTGAACTCCTTTCAGAGAAGCAGAGCAGCGTGAGATCTGCTGACACACCAGGCCCAGGGTTTGCCCAACTTCCAGCCATCCACACACAGCTCTGCTCAGGGCAGGTCTGAGTCCACATAATTAAATCAAGTAAAGCAAATGCCAGTGTTAATTATGAAGTGGGGCAGGTTAGTCTTCACCTGAGTCCTTTGCCACAAACACTGAACTCCTTTCAGAGAAGCAGAGCAGCGTGAGATCTGCTGACACACCAGGCCCAGGGTTTGCCCAACTTCCAGCCATCCACACACAGCTCTGCTCAGGGCAGGTCTGAGTCCAGAAGACCAAGATAACCCAAGATTAGACCTTTGGTTTATTACTAATCCGACAAACGAATCGCACCCTCCCAGCTGCAGAGCCGCGTTACTCATTCACCGGGGCAATTCCTCAGAACTCACACAGGGTGTAAGGAACCTAAGAGCAGATAAAAACCTACAGCAATGTGAGGCACCTGCAGCTCACTCCAGCATGTGTGGGTCACTGGGACTCAGGAAAACATCTTTTGCTACGTGATACCTACACCAGAACCAGCTGAGCTTGAGATGGGCTAAAAACAGGGGTTGGCTGCTAGCTGGGTATCAAGGAATTATAGAATCCTTAAGGTTGGAAAAAGACCTCTAAAATCGCTGAGTCCAACCATTAAGCTGAGAGCATCTCTCTTGGGAGAAAGGATCAAATTATATATCCTGAGGTGCCCTTGAGGCTTGTAACAACAGCCTTGACGAGATCTGTGAATCTTACCTTTACTTTCCTGAAGCCAAATCACTAGCAAATGGGCAAGTCCAAACTTTTGGGGAGGTCAAAGACAACTCCCACACCCCACTAACCCACCTCAGGAGCACACTGCCTGTCTCTTTAGAGCACCACAACTCTCCCCTGCTCTTTGAACCTTCCCATCTCTGCATCAGCTGAGCAATAGAAAGTGGCTGCAGGAAGAACGACAGTTACTCTGCAACATCCAGCAAACCCAGCTTGACTTCCCACAGCTATGCTTCCTGCATCAAGGGCTCAAAACATCATCAGCAACTCTGAGCTGGCTCTCACCAACTTCCCAGCAAGGGCACACTTTAAGAATTGCTCCCATCCACAAATACTGTTCCTTACACCACAGGGCCAAACAACATAACCAGGCTGGAAAACTCACTCTCACTGTCTCTTGGAACCAGAACCAAGACAAATGATGGCCTTGATGAAGCTGTTTATTTCCTCCAGCTGAGATGGTTTGGTGGGAAATTGTCTCCAAAAATAAGTTTTAAAGAAAAGTCTCCAACCCCCACAGGTACAGACAGACAATAAAAGCTTTTGAGAGAGAGTAATATAGAAAACCACTGGTGCTGAAGTGAATTATTTATAGCCAGCTAAGATTTGTCAGAGGTTTCAACAAGCCCTTTACAGCTAATGAGAGCCAGAGTGAGAGACTGGGCAAATTGGGACCTGTTAAAGAGAGAAACTCCAGGGTTTGTAGGGACAAACCTGCTACCAGACACCTAGAAAAACACTCATGGGGCCAGCTGATATATTTCCTCTGTCATATAGGTGGAGAGGGAGAAAAACCATCATGACTTGACAACAACTGAGGCCATGGGAAGAGCTGCATGTCTGGGCAGAGAAGATGGAGCTCCCACGCCCTCAGCACCGTCTGCCAGCAGCAGGACTGAGTCTTCCCAAGCCAAAGGTGTGGGACAGCCTCGAGCAGGATGCTTAGCTCACCATGTGCCCCAGCTCAGGGACTTCCAGGTCCTCGGGAAGTCTGACCAGACGGTTCCATGTGCCTCCTCAGGATGCTCTGGCTGTGTGTTCCCACACAAGGGCAGGTAGCTGTGCCTCAGCCACCTCCCAGCCAACTGCAATTTAGCCCCTGGGCTCCTCGGCCAACAGGATTAATCCCCCTGAACAGACACAGTGATCCAGCCTGCTCTTATGCCATACTGCACATGGCTATCTCAGAGGGCTGCAGAAACACAGCAGCTGCCCAACATATTCTAAATGTCATCCTGCAGATCCACACTGGGCAAGCTCTGCAAACTCCTCATGCCTGGTAAGCAGAACAGCTCTGCAAGAGGAGTGTGGTCCCCTGAACTGGGAAAATAATCTCCTATGAAAATAGTCACTCATTCTGGATAGGTGGAATATACTGTGTTAACATACACACTACTTACTTACAGCTACATTTCCTGCCAGAAATTCCCATTATCCACCCCAGCATTCCTGTGTTAATATGGAACCTTGCTCTAAAATCCCAACACCTATGAAAAGGCAGAAACACCCAGTTCCTTGATTTTTCAGACCCTTCACCCCACTGGCACCTGCCATTTAACACTCAACCCAGTTTTTCTCACTTCTTTTGAGGACCAAAATATATATAGAAGAGGAAAAAAAGCCCTAATCCTTGTCACCTTGCCAGGACATTCCGCTGCAAGTATTCATGGTACGACTTGTACCAACAGCAGATCCTGAAATACTTCTCTTCACTCCTGCAGTCCAGTTGGCACAGCCAACCGAACAAGCTAAGGGGAAGTCTGTGGATCCTTCCAAGAAAAAGCCTGCTACCAAAAAATCCATCACGGAAAGCAGCACATCCCTGTAAAGACAGAGAGCCAACTTTCCCTATAGCAAGAGATTCAGAGTGGTTCAAGTTTTCCTTCCCTCTTCCAAGCCAGAATTGCTGCACAGGGAGTTCAAGTCTTTGCCCAACCACCAAGGGCCGATGACGACTCTCAAGGCTGACGCACGTGGAGAAGGGCAGTCTGCAATTCCCCAGTGAGCTTCTTGCTCAGGAAGCTTCAAGATGTGGGACCATCTCAGCACCCCATGCTTTTCAGCAAGTTACCACTTAACAGCTTTTTGCCAACAACACTTGATTCATCCTTAACACGCTGTGCCCATGGTGAAATGTTGCATTGCTTTGTTCCCTTTCCAGTGGATCACAACTAACCACCATCCCGGTTGCAGCCAGAAGAGACCAAAAACCTGCAAACCCAAATGATTTTCGTGGGATTTAAAACATCCATGGGGTCAAGCCTCAAATACCACATGCAAAAACAGCTGCAGAGGCTTTAGAGATCTGCTCAAGATGAAGGCGAAGCCAAACTGGGGGACAATCCCCAACACCAACACAGAATGAAGTGAATCCCTGTGGTTTCCAGGTGAACAGCAGCCACTCTCCAGGCTCAGAGGAACTGTGATGGAGTGGCCCAAGGGCTGAACCACTCTCCAGCTGCAGGCACTGCTCTGGGTCAGCGTGAGGCACAGCAATGGCAGGAATGTCCATCTGGGAACACACACAGGGCTCGATCTCCAGCGCTGTCAGTCTGCCACATCCCACTCGCACCAGACTTGCAAGCTGATTTCCTTAAGGAGGGGAGTGATCCTGGAAGAGCATCAGCCACCACAACCAGCAGCAGACAGGCTGCTTCATCTGAACCCCTGAAGCAACTGGAGATTAGAAAGGTTCCTCTCTGCCAACACTTGCTTCCAGAGGAGGATTGTCTTGCGCCCACCACCACTGCATGCCAGGTGGGCTATCAGAGGTAACCATGATGAGGGTCTTCCTTTCACACACAGCACACCCCTGTTCTTCCTTCTACTTACCCGCTGTGCTGTGTTCTGGACATTGTTTGCCTTGGTCTCTCCCTCCTCCCAGCCCCTCACACCGAGAGCCAGCTGCCTCTGCTCAAAACCATCAATCCCAGCCCAGGAACAAAGCCAAAGCTCTTAGAGACGCGCCCGGGGAGAGCCTGCCAAGGGAACTCAGCTGCAGAGATGGCTGCCTTCACCACCCTCCCTCATCCAGGATTTGCTCTGGCAGAGCCACAGCTATTTTTTGAGGTGGGCACCTTTGACCAACCCAACCTGCTCCAGGAGGCAACAGGGTCTTGGCCCTTGAGTACCTGAGGAACCATCATCATGCAAAGGGCTCCACTTACAACACAGCAGGCACTGTTACAGTAGGTCTTCACACCACAAAGGTGAAATAGCAAAGCCCCCAGAGGATAGATTTTTAAGTGTAGTACTTAAAGATGCAGAGAAACAGCAGTTGGCTCCGTAAAACAGACTAACACCTCCCCAACCCCAAGAGAACCCGATTTAAATTACTTCAATAAATAATTACATTGGATTGAGAATTCCTCTAAAATTTCTTCACAGACCCCCTTCTGCATCCCCAGATGCCCCAAAATTTTGTTTTAACGAGTCTGTGTCCCAGCATTCTGGCACAAGATGCCAGCTGAACTGAAGTGGTATTGTTAGCTTTATTACCTAGTATAGTTTTAGCAGAAGTACAGGATTTTTTGTATGTTATGGGGAAAAGGAATGAAATCTAAGTTGAGTCCATTAAAATAAAGTTTCTTTTTATAGCATGCCAAAACATCACCATTCAGGGTGAAAGTGAGGTAACATGATAAGCATGTGGATATATATCTAGTCCTGACAGCCTTGATTAACATTTACCCACATTCATGTGATTGTCATCACTAAAATAAGTTTGGAGACTTTGAAACATTTGTAGGCCAAAGGAAGATGCCTGGGTGACCACACCAAACCAGGCATGTGGTACAGCAGACACCAAGGCTTGCAGTTGGTTTGCCTAGTTATGTAGAATAACCAAGATACACTTTTTAAAATAGCATATTCAGACCTTGAAGCCTTCATTTTACTGGAGAGCAGAACTGCTTCTCCATTTTGCAAACCCCCAATAGTGGGAAAAAAAAAAAAAAAAGAAAAAGGAAAAAAAAAAACCCAGGCAGGAGCATGTTGCTGGGTCCTCTTTACCCAACTTCCCCAAATTTAGCTGAATCTGACCCAGTTCCAACTTAACCACGTTACCCTGTGCTAAGAAATCAAAGCACTGAGAAATCAAAGCAAGCCAAGGCAGCACAACATGCTGCAATAAATTACTGGTTATCAGAAGCGACCTGACCCTCTGGAACATGCAGGTGCCACGAGCACAATCCAGGAGGGCACATCCAAGAGGACAAATGCAAAACCAGCTTTGGAGGATGCTTTTTGCCTCTAACTTCTCAAGGGTTTGTTTCTGCTGAGCACCAAGCTGAATCCACCAGAAAAAGAGCCTCCTGTATATATGTATTATGCATCCAGCACCCTGAGGTCTTCCTCCTCTGCCACAACAATGATGATTTCAGAAAAACAGATTCATCTCTGACTCTGCACTAGTTTTGTTCTCGGCTTGACTAAGGAATAAGCATAAAAAAAAAATGTTTTGCATAAATCTACTGTAGCAAGGCTTTTCTTTCACTCCCAGGCCAGTTTTATCCAAAACCACTAAGCATCAAATGCAGAAGAGAAACTGAGAGAGAGAGCAGTGTTTTGAGTCAAAACAGAGAGTGAGAGTAATGCCCTTCAGAACAGATCAGCTCTGGTGGTTAAAGCACCTCCAGCATTCCCAGCCACACAGCACTCGCCTGAGTGGCACCAAAACCACTGCAACCTCCCACGGGTGGTAAGGGCAGGAAACAGGGACACTGGGAGAGGCGTGAGGGGAGCAGACAGGAAAAAAAGCAGCTCAGAGAAAGTTGTCAGGAGAAAGAGAAACAAAAACAATGAAAGCAGGGAGAAAGAGCAGCAGCAGAGGAAGCGGAGATGGGGGTGGAAATGAGCTCTTCTCACCCCTCCCTGCAGCCCCGGGAGCCACAGACCAAACCCAACCACACAGCTTCATTTCCTACACTAGAGGAGCCAACACAACCAGTCACTGCGACTGTAGCTTCACAGAAGGGAGGGGGATGGGGTTTTTTGTTGTTTTGAAGACTTCTTTTAAAATGCATGACAGCCCAAGAGAAGAAACCAGAAGGCAAAGGCGCAAGGAAGCTAAACTGGAGCAGAGCCTGAGCACAGTCAGTATCCATACACAGCATAGAATCACCCAGGTTGGAAGAGACCTCCAAGATCATTGAGTCTTGATTACCTACTGTGGTTACTAGACCATGACACTAAGTGCCACATCCAGTCTCATCTTGAAATTCTCCATCACCTCCCTGGACAGCCCATTCCAATGCCTGATCACTCTCTCCGTAAAAAATCTCTTCTAACCTAAAGCTCCCCTGGCAGAGCTTGAGTCTGCCCAGTCCCTCACACCCTCCCACTCCCAGCACACCATCCTGGCTGCTGCAGGATGCCCAAGGCTCAGGGGAAGGTGCCAGTACCTTTCATTGCCCGGCTGGAACTCGGAGAGCAGGGACGGTCTCCTCCGCTGCGGCTGCATGATAGAGCCCGGCGGGAGGTGGGAAGTGAAATCCCTGGAATGATGCTGGTACTCCAACAGCGCGACGTCCTGCAGGAACAAACACAGAAGAGCTCGTTAGGCTGGTGGGAACTTTCAAGCAAGCAGAGAGCCCTGACAACTCAAAAAACTCCATGTAGATATTTCTCCTTTGAAGCACTGGGTGCTGGACCACAAAGCTCAATACTCTTCCCTCCCCAAAAGGTTCCCAGGAACTCCCAGACCTGAACTGAGTTGGGATGGTAGCTCAGCCCCCCAACCAGCCTTTTCCCAGGGCTGCTGGCAGGCTGACTCCTGGGATGGGACCCCAGTCCCAGCCACTGAGCACCCACACAGGGATTTTTGGCATCCAGACAGTCCTGATGACAACTGCAAATCCGAGAGGAAGAACAGGTAAGAACAAAATTAAAAGTCACAGGATTCTTTCAGCTTCAGTAATCCATGCAGCAGCATGGAGAAAGAAAAAAGGAGGGGGGTGAAGACAGAAGAGAAATCACAAATGTTATCTCGAGTGTTTCCCTTTAAACACAGCTCCCCTGGGCTGAGCTCAAGGGGTTTGAAAGGACAGTTTGCTACTTATTATGTGTATGTCCCTTTTGTTCCTTGACCCTTGGAGAGTACAGTACAGTATGTTCCTGATTTTAATTAAATAAGAAGCCCTCCTTCTCTGTGCCACAGACTGATTCCAGCAATGGTATTTCAGTAGCTACATTCAACTGCAATTTTTTATTTGCAGATAGATACTTGACCAGAAGACTAATCATCTAATTAACTAAGGCCTTCAGCAACAGCATAGAAAGCCCTGTCACAGAATATCCCTGGTAACACTGACACACATTTACGTTAGAAGACCAATTCCACCTGGGAATCTATTTTTGAACACTTCTCAACTGGAACATGAAAGCTTCAACTCCCTCAAAAAGAAAAAGAGAAATTTCAGGGTCTAAAAAGAATAGAATTAAATCAATAAACAAGGCACCATGTGCGTGCAGCTGATGTGAGCAGGGACTCTCAGCCCCAACAGCTGCAACAGGAATTATTTGATCAGATGTAGTGAAGATCAACATGCTCCAGCACTAGGGAAGCTGGGGAATTGCCCCAGCAAGGTGCATGGCAGGCAAAGAAAGGATTTTGGAGATTAAAAAGCAACAGCCTGTGCCTGGAGACTCTCCCAAGCTGGAAGTGAACAAAGCAGACCAAAGCTGGATGCCAGGATCTCCTCCAGCCAGTTGTGGAGCAGAAGGGAATATCAAGGCCCACCATCTTTGACCACCAGAGGGTAAAGCAAGATGTTTGCATAGGAGCTTTTCTGGAAAGTCAGGAAGAAAACCAGAAAGTGTAAGCACTTAGCCTGGGGGAGCCAAGAAAAGCAGATCTCTTACCCCACGTCCAGGCTCTCTCATACAAAAGCTGAATAGGCCAAATACCACGGGGAAGAAGAAGGGCAATGGTGTCCAATGGCCACCACTTCTCCATGTGCCTACAAAGGTGTGCTAGTTTTTGGAATCCAGGCAATAACGTGGTACTGCTCCTTTTCTGTTCTGACCCGTCTTGGGAAATGCCAGGAACCCGGGGCCTCTGCCAGCCCCGACTCCTGGATAGCCTCTCCAGCCTGGCCACGTCAGACCTCAGCCTCTGGGACAAGGGGTGTCTGCAGACAGGTTCTTGTGACATAAGGAGGGCATGACAGGGACAGTGTCTACTCATCCTCACAAGGATGTTCCACTTCAGCTGTAAATTCAGGCATTAAGGGAGGATGATACCCCATGATGGTGCTTTTCCTTCAGCTCCCGAGTCCATCCATGCAGGACACCATAGTGGGCTGCAGGACAGAACACACTGTGGGTCCAACCACAGATGGAACAAACTCAAGAGATGTGGAGGAAAGGAGCCCATTAGCTCTTACAGCTGCAGCCAAAGCAGAATCGCTGCCTACAACCAACTTCCCCATGTTCACACTTGTCCTGGCTTTAAATTAGAAATAAATAAATAAGAGCGATGCAGCTCCTGACATCCACCTACAAAACAAACACATTGTGTCTGGGAAGACACACCAATAGGCCCAAAACGAGGACCGTCACCTTCTGTGGGCGTATAAACAAGAATTACCTGTCTGGGAGGCTCGAAGGCTGTGCCCTTGAGAAAAAAAAAGGTTCCTGCATGTCCCGAGAACCATCTGTTTTTCCTTTTCCCCCTGCCCACACTCAGCTGAGCTTTGCCTTCTCCTCCTCTAACCCTGTCAGAAAATGGCTGGTGGAGCTCAGAGCCTGCTGGCATGGCCTGAAGTGATGGGAAGCTCGTCATGCCAGGCTGATAGCTCCGGGCTGGGATGGCAGACCTGCCTCTCTGCCTTCCCCACCGAGGGCAAGGCTGTCAAGCACCAGCTCCTGCTTTTCCAGACATCGCCCAACTCACTCTGACCTGCTCCACGTTGCTCACATCCGCACTGGGTTTTACCAGAAGAAAACATAACCTAAAAAATTAGTGAGGAGGATTAAAACTGACAAATTTCTGTGCCCTGTGATGAACTGTCAGAGGCACCGCGGGAGCCCTGGCAGGACGTAGGTGGACTAATTGCTCAGAAAGTTACTGCAGTAAATTGTACTGTGAGCTGTGTGTTTTTCAAACACAAATGCCAGAAAGGTTTACGAGCTGCCTTCAAACTGCCAGGTGGACTTGGCAGTGCTAGGCTAACGGTTGGACTTGATGATTCTATAGGTATTTTCCAACCTAAACAATCCTATGATTCAGAAGAGGCTTCGGTTTTGTTTACCAAGAGTTTTAAAGGTGCCTGCTGGGAGATACGTTGCTGCCAGCACTGCTGCACCTTCCACACACCAGCATAGACAAGGGACCAGCACCCAGAGGGTGCCACCTGAATTCACCACCACCAAAGCACACAAATGGGTTAGGGTCCATCCTGACCTAAAACCTTCTAGCATAGCCTTGGCACCTGCTCAAGGGCAGCTGTCAGACACCTGAAATAAAACAACTAGAGAACGCTGTGGTCCCAAACTACATGTTGTTTCTTTCCCTCTCCACTGTTCCACCGTTTTGCTGGGTTTTGCTCAATTCTATTTTCTGCTTATCCTTTCCGTCTCTCTGCATCTCTTCCTGCCCTCTGCAAACCCTCCCCCCATCCCCTAAATCTGTTGATCTGTCAGAGCATCTTCTCCAGGGCCCTCAAATCTTCCACTGCCTCCAGTCAGGACTTTCTTCCTTTTATGCCAACCTTCCTGTTGTTCCTTGTGGTTCAGGCGCTCCCACATGGATATACTTTGTGGAAGCACTGCAGAATTTCATAAATTCATGTCATGTCATGACACGGAAGTTAAGGAAGCAGAAAAACCATGGGTAGTCAAGAGCCCTGGCACACCAACAGATTTGGGGGAGGAGGTCAGCACGAGCAGAATCACCAAAGACAGACAGGCACTGAGAATGCCACAGTGCCATAAATCACACTGGCAGAGCAAGGCAGCACTAGGCCAATATTTGGATAAATGAGGTGCTAAAACCCCAAAAGTGGCCTCATTGAAATTCACTTCTTCATGCAGCAGACTGAAGAGGCACCTGGGCCCAGCCTGAAGGGCTGAAAGTGTCCTTTGCTCCTCACCAGAAGAGCTGAACACATCCAAGCTGTCCCTGCCTGGGGAGCTGGGAAGGGGAGCCAGAGAAAGCACCCCCAGTCTCAAGGTCTCTCTGTGTTATTAATTGATTTGCAAGTGCTGAGAGCACCATTTCCATCCCCTTCCTGGTAAATCCTCTGACCCTAAATAACCTGAGTCTACCAGGGTCATTTAGATTTGCTAATCAAACTGTCTAGAGCCAGGAGACTGAATGCACTAATAGAGAAAAGTTCTTGGCAACACAAACAGCCCTGCAGAGGGAAAGAAAGAAAGGAGGGTTTTTTTAAAGCTTTCAGCCTGCTGCTTTACCTACCATAAAGTCTCCAGCAAAATCTTCTGTGCTGTCCTCAACCTCAGGATAACCCACACACTAAGCCAACAAGTGCAGGCAGCCACGCAGCCGTTCTGCCTCTCTTGCTTTCTCTTTTGGACACGTGCACTTGCTGGTGTGCTTCATTTCTCCTTCCCCTGCCTGCAGCTGCCTGAGTCCTGCTGCCTGATCTCCAGTGAGGAGGAAGCAAGCGAGGTCTGAGAGCAATGCTGGAAGCATCCCCAGGCACTGACCTGCAGCACACAGCACCAAATAATGCTATGCCACGGCCAACAGCAGCTCTGATCCTGCTCTCCCAGCTCCAGAACTGAGCACATCCATATGGACAATGTATCTACCGACTGCTCCATCCAGATGGCCTTCCCATGACTCCAAGAATTAGCCCCTGAGGAGAAGACCCCAGAGACATGAGGCCTGCAGAAAGGAAAACTGGAGCTGGTCTTGCAACAGAAAGGCAAACGGCTCCTCCTCTCTTCCTCCCACCAGCAGAAAAACAAGTACAAACGCCGAGTGCTTCTGGCTTCCTTGGAAAACAGCTCTGGAGCAAACCCATGGAGACCTAGAGCACAGCCAGACAAGGACCTGCAGCACAGCTCAAGAGCACAAAGCAATCCATCCTCTTCGCTTACCACGTCTTCAACCGAAAAAGCAACCAGGAGCTCCCTGATGAGTTTCAGTACAAGGCAGCTTTGCTTAAAAACCACTGGCTCTTGTTGTGCCGTGACGCCGAGGAGGAGCAGCCCGGGGTCAGCCACCACATCCGCCAGCTGAGCCAGCTCCCGGCGCAGGGCGGCACTGCCACCGCCGCTGCCTCGAATCACGGCGCTGGTGCAGGCAGTGCCTTGCCTGCAGAGCTCCTGGGCACAGCAGAGCTCACCCAGCCACGAGCCACTGCCCCACACTGTCCTCATCACCTTCTGGAGGCAGGTAAACAGCCCAGGGCACTGCACACACTCCTCGAGGGGCAAATCCCAGCTCCTCGCCACCCCCGCCAAGGATCAGGGCTGCTCGTTACGAGCTCACTCAGTGCTGCATTGTGAATAATTTTTATTTCTTAATGATGTGCTACTTCTGTTGAAACACTCCCAAGCACT